AGTGGGTAGGGGAAAACTGAGAAGTAGCTATTATTAGCAGATAGGTTTGGAACTCCCTTTCTTATTGGTCTATTAACTAATTTAATCGCCTGGTGACTTCCCCAGGCAGGCAAAAATTCCATCCCACCAAAACAGGCAGAAATTTCAGGCTGTCTTTTCAAACAGTTCTTACACTAAAAGGGCATTATCATAATATTCACAATTTCACAGTATTATTCCAACCTCATAGTGTGGAAATATATATAAAGCACAGGAAAATCACGTTTTTGACTGCACTTGCACTGGGCCGTTAAGTTACCATAAAAACACAGAACATGTCAAAAGAAACGGTACTGAATGAAACATTTATTTAAAGATGGACATCAGTATTTCATGCAAACCAGCGAAGCAAAATAAGAAAATAACTCAACAAAAGCAAAACAAAATAATTAGTTACAGCGTAATAATATCAACCCATTTGTTCATCCTCTTATCATCCTCCACTGAGCCACAACTATACTGAACAAAAATATAAACGCAACATGTAAAGTGTTGGTCCCATGTTTCATGAGCTGAAATAAAAGATCCCAGAAATGTTCCATACACACAAAAAGCTTATTTCTCTCATATTTTGAGTACAAATTTGTTTACATCCCTGTTAGTTAGCATTTCTCCTTTGCCAAGATAATCCATCCACCTGACAGGTGTGGCATATCAAGAAGCTGATTAAACAGCATGATAATTACACAGGTGCACCTTGTGCTGGGGACAAAAAAAGGTCAGTTTTGTCACACAACACAATGCCACAGATGTCCCAAATTTTGAGGGAGCGTGCAATTGGCATCCATCCACCTGACAGGTGTGGCATATCAAGAACCTTGTGCTGGGGACAATAAAAGGTAACTAAAATGTGCAGTTTTGTCACATAACACAGATGTCTCAACTTTTGAGGGACCGTGCAATTGGCATCCTGACTGCAGGAATGTCCACCAGAGCTGTTGCCAGAGAATTGAATGTTAATTTCTCTACCATAAGCCACCTCCAACGTCATTTTAGAGAATTTGGCAGTACATCCAACCAGCCTCACAACCGCAGACCACATGTAACCACGCCAGCCCAGGACCTCCACATCCGGCTTCTTTACCTGCGGGATCATCTGAGGGGGTGCTGAGTAGTATTTCTGTCTGTAATAAAGCCCTTTTGTGGTGAAAACCTCATTCTGATTGGCTGGGCCTGGCTCCCAAGTGGCTGGGCCTATGCCCTCCTAGGTCCACCCATGGCTGCACCTTTGCCCAGTCATGTGAAATCCATACATTAGGGCCTAATGAATTAATTTCAATTGACTGATTTCCTTCTATGAACTGTAACTCAGTAAAATCTTTGAAATTGTTGCATGTTGCGTTAATATTTTTGTTCAATAAACATAAAATCACAGCATATGGTATCCGTTGGTTACACAGTTCTTTGTATGTCCACTCCATATAATTAGGAATTAGAATACTTATTTAATAGGATCTCTATGGTTTACACAGACAATGCAAAATAAAAGATGACAGAGCCACATTTATTTTAACATATTCATCATATTGCGAAAAAGGAATGTCAGCATCATTCTAATTGTGTGCTTTGGGAGAGACAGCTTTGCGTTAAGCCGAGACATTAAGTTAAAAGAAGGGGAAGAAATCCTATTTGATAAAGACTAGTCATTCCATAACATTAGGGTCAATTTAATGAGGCAGATTTACTATAGCGGGACATTGTACAACAAAAAAAGTAACCTACCGCACTTTTCTGTGACTGTTGTGGCGCAATGGGTATACCTGTATACAGAACGGTATTCATAAATACCTTGGCTTTTATTACAATCAAACAAGCAAAAACATGGGTAGTCACTCATTGACAAGGTGTTAAGACTTATTATGTCTCTATAAAGGCAGAACAATAATACATCCGATTGCATCTATGGGCAGCTTCCTCTGATATCCTGTACTATAAAGTTGTGAATCCAACACTATATTGACCTAGATGTGAGGAAGACTCACTGCTTGTTACTCTGAGTGGGAGGCCTGTTTTGTCTTAAGAGATGATGAAAGGGGCTCTGGTTGTGCAATCTGACCTGGCGTGAACTATCTGGGCTATCTGAGCTCTGCTGATCTGGCCTGACCTACGAGCAAGACATAATGAACTTGCCCCTAGACACTGACTGATCTAAGGTCAGTTTTGCATTTCCCACCTAATGGTTAAGGTTAGGATTTGGAGAATGTCTAAGGGCAAGTTCGGAGCTCAGACCTGATATCTGGTCCTTAGTTCCTGCCTCCCGGGGAACACTGCGGTTTCCACAGCTGTTCAAATAAGACAACAAACACAGTCTTTCCCAACGGCCCTCCATGGTGGGAAAACCCTTCTCACCATTGATAACGTTACATCAGCTTTCTTTCAATGTTACAATAATGTTGTAACGGTGATCCACTTTGCCAGAGGGGCAACAAACCCAAAGGTAATTTGACTTAACCAATCAGAGTCTGTTATTTTTTTGTTTTTTTTGTCATTTAGCAGACGCTCTTATCTAGAGCGACTTACAGTTAGTGAGTGCATACATTTTCATACTGGCCCCCCGTGGGAAACGAACCCACAACCCTGGTGTTGCAAGAGCCATGCTCTACCAACTGAGCTACAGGGGACTACATATTACTATTTAACTGTATTAATAGTAATATGCCATTTAGCAGACACTTTTATCCAAGTGAATTACGGTCATGCGTGCATTCTTAAAAAAAAAAATGTTTTTTAAAAATGTATTTAAACTAACTGTACAACTTAACTACACACACATTCATAAACAAATCACTCTTCCGAACTCAACTGTATAAATCATCATTCAATAAAGCAGACACTAGATTAGACAATGCATTTTGCAACATTATCGCCATTCACATTCAACGAGGCACACTCAAGCAATTCAATATGTTGTGTTTTCCTTTGTTTCGATAAAGCACTTTAATTGCAGATTGACATTAGAACTCAGACAGAAGAGATTAGCTTTTATTTAGTGTTACTTACAGAAGGAGCTAAATTAAATTTGATATGAATTCAGATTGACTGTAGTTTTGCCACTACACCTCCCCATTAGATTTAAAGATACCATCCACATCCTCCCTTTAAATTTCTATAAATAAATATCAAACATTAAAGCAGCTGAATTGGGCTTTTCAGTTGTGTTGTGTGTGTAAAACAATTAACCAAAATGAGAAACCAAAATGATCAACAACATTGAGAAAACAAGCACACAGAGAGAATGTTTTTACAAACACTTTCATACATTTCTATTGAAGATGACCTCAACAATCTCTCATATGCATGTGCTAAGAGCAATATATACCTTGGCTTGCGTAACAAACTCTGAGACAAATATATGTACGGTATGTGTCACATATTGCTTATGGTTGAATGATTGGTTGAGCTTCCAGAGAAGAAGCAAAGACAATGTATGTATTTCCACTACATACTGTATGTGACAGTTGATGCCAAATGAGTTACAAAGAACAAACATAGAAAGGGTTAATTGTCTATTACAGAAGGTAGATATTAATTAATTAAGCAAGACTTAAATCGTTATGCTTCAGTGCTGCTGCAGGTCTGTGTTAGATCGTGTGATAACAACGAACAGATCAGTGTGGCATAATAAGTGTCTTAGCTCATCTGAAAACGATCTGAAAGCATCCATAAAACGGCAACAATGATTACAGAAGTCAAAAATAGCTTATAAAAATAATTTCGGTTTTTGATGGGAGGGCATGCACGTAAAAGTATCTGGCAATGTGGTGTTTGACAACATGACCTGAAAGAACCTGATCCTTTACACATATGTGGTGCCTATGGTAGAGCTTTTACCCATGATTCTTTCTGCTGCCCCTGATCCAACCCCAACTCTCATATCTTCACTGATTTACGAGTGGCTTGTGTATCATATCACAGCTATCAAATAAAACCACCCACTTAAAACAGGAGAAGACATATTTTCTTATCTTTACCTAGATTTCTCTCCATTTTTATGAAGAGAAAACAAACAAAAACATAGTAAGTTGCTTTGACAGTTTCTGAAGTCAAACTGTAGTATTTTCCTAAGCCGGTCTCTGGCCTTGTCATGCAGCAGTGAGTAGCTATGCCCTCTCCACTGCTGCAAAAGGATACATCTGTTGTTCACATATGAGACTATAATCTGTGGTGAGTTAGAGGCTAGAACAGGCTACAGCGGGAAAGGGAAGATAGGGAATGAAAATGAAGATAAGAAAAGCAGATGGAGGAAAAAAATTGTAAGAGGAAAGGTCAGGAGAGGTGGGATGAGAGAGAGAGAGAAGGAGAGAGAGAGAGAGGGAGAGAGAGAGAGAAGGGAGAGAGAAGAGAGACGAGAAGATGACGATAGACGATAGTAGCCTCTCTGCTCCTGCAGTACTCGATAGCTCCTCTCATTCTCTCTCTCTCGTCTTCCGCTCTCTCTCTCTCGCTCTCTCTCTCTCTCCTTCTCTTCTCTTCTCTCTCCATCCTCATGTCGCATGCTCAAGACCACCACCTTACACCCAGTGAGAACACAAGACAAAGAAAAAAGCCTGCACAATAATTTTTGAAAAGCTGCTCTTTCTCTTTTTGCAGAGGAAGGGAGAGCTCACATAGAGGGAGGAGAGGAGAAGAGGATGGGAGGAGGAGTGGTGTCACGGGCCATGCAAATGCATCTCCCCACCTCCCCTAAAGGTGATCAAAGTAACATTCAGACCATTTCGCATACACAAGCTAGAGGTGACGAACATCGCCTCAACGTTGGATGTCGGTTACAGCGACGTTGTGAAAGGTTTTCCATAGAGTACCCCCACCACTCCTCATTCTGGCTGAGATGAGATGTTTCTCAGCTGTAACGTAGCGGTGCGTACACAGATTATTTCAGATGTTTTTTTTCTGTCTTCCTTTCTTCCAGACAGGACAGATGCTGTAGACTGGATATGTTTATTATTATCCCCTGCTTGGCTTTAGAAAAGGCGTGCTTTCTTTTTCATGTCATTCTTCTTCCAAAGGGCCATGCGGTCAAACTGATCCAGGGTCATCCCAAAGACATGGTGGAAGTCCTCTGGGGAGAGGTGTCTCTGGAAGAAAGACAAATACAACAAGATTTGTTTATATTCATTAGAATGACAAGACAGACAGAATATGTGAAAGCAGCAGAGTAGAAATACACTACAAAAGTATGTGGACACCCTTTCAAATGAGTGGATTTGGCTATTTCAGCCACACCCGTTGCTGACAGGTGTATAAAATCGAGCACACCGCCATGCAATCTCCATAGACAAACATTGGTAGTAGAATGGCCTGTACTAAAGAGCTAAGTGACTTTCAACGTGGCACCGTCATAGGATGCCACCTTTCCAACAAGTCAGTTCGTCAAATGTCTGCCCTGCTAGAACTGCCCCGGTCAAGTGCTGCTATTGTGAAGTGGAACCATCTAGGAGCAACGGCTCAGCCGCGAAGTGAAAGGCCACACAAGCTCACAGATCGGGGCCGCAGAGTGCTGAAGCGCGTAGTGTGTAAAAATCGTCTGTCCTCGGTTGCAACACTCACTACAGAGTTCCAAACTGCCTCTGGAAGCAACGTCAGCACAATAACTGTTCGTCGGGAGCTTTATGAAATTAGTTTCCATGGCCGAGCAGCCGCACACAAGCCTAAGATCACCATGCACAATACCAAGTGTCGGCTGGAGTGGTGTAAAGCTCGCTGCCATTGGACTCTGGAGCAGTGGAAACGCATTCTCTGGAGGGATGAATCACGCTTCACCATCTGGCAGTCCGACAGACAAATCTGGATTTGGCGGATGCCAGGAGAACACTACCTACCCGAATGCATAGTGCCAAATGTAAAGTTTGGTGGAGGAGGAATAATGGTCTGGGGCTGTTTTTCATGGTTCAGGCCCATTAGTTCCAGTAAAGGGAAATCTTAACGCTGCTGCATACAATTACATTCTAGACGATTCTGTGCTTCCAACTTTGTGGCAACAGTTTGGGGAAGGCCCTTTCCTGTTTCAGCATGACAATGCTCCCGTGCACAAAGCGAGGTCCATACAGAAATGGTTTGTCGAGATCGGTGTGGAAGACCTTGACTGGCCTGCAAAGAGAGCCCTGACCTCAACCCCATCGAACACCTTTGGGATGAATTGGAACGGTGACTGCGAGCCAGGCCTAATCTCCCAACATCAGTGCCCGACCTCACTAATGCTCTTGTGGCTGAATGGAAGCAAGTCCCTGCAGCAATGTTCCAACATCTAGTGGAAAGCCTTCCCAGAAGAGTGTAGGCTGTTATAGCAGCAAAGGGGCGACCAACTCCATATTAATGCCCATGATTTTGGAATGAGATGTTCACATACAGGTGTCCACATACTTTTGGTCATGTAGTGTATGACACAGAGAGAGAGAGACAGAGAGACAGACAGAGAGAGAGAGAGAGAGAGAGAGAGAGAGAGATAGAGTAGAGAGAGAGAGAGAGAGAGAGAGAGAGAGCGACATAGATAGAGAGAGAGAGCCGCTCAGACATAGAGACAGTACATATATCTATACACGAGAGAGAGAAGAGATAGAGGAGATAGAAGAGAGAGGTAACATAGAAGATAACGATATATATATATAAAGAGAGAGATAGTATAGTAGTAGACATATATATATAGATAGATGAATAATATCTATATACATAGATACTCCCGGGGTTTTTTAAAAAGGATAGATAATATAAGATTAGAAATTAAAAAAAAAAGATATAAAAGACATTTTTTAAAAAATTTAAAATTTATTAACCCCCCCAAATTTTTTCCCCCCCTTTCATAAATTTCCTCCTTTTTTATTCTTTTTTTTAAAAATATAACAAAAAAAAAATCAAGGGAAGGAAAGAGCCAAAGGGAGGAAAAAAACAAAGCCCCCCTTTTACCAACCATTAACTGACATATTGTCAGTACTACTATCAACCCAAGGGCCCCTCCAGCCATCTGCTATTATTGATGCCAACTGTTTAAGGTGCTGAGTCCATCTGAATGGAACACAGTCCCTGCAGAAATTTTTCCAACATCTAGTGGAAAGCCTTCCCAGAAGAGTGAAAGGCTGTTATAGCACAAAGGGGCACCAACTCCATATTAATGCCCATGATTTTGGAATGAGATGTTCACATACAGGTGTCCACATACTTTTGGTTTTTGGTCCAGAGGTAAACAGAGAAGAGAGAAAACAGAGAGAAGAGAAGAGATATAGAGAGGGGAAAAGAGAAAGAGAAAGAGAGAAGAGAAAGAGCGAGAGAGAGAGACAGAAGAGAAGAAAGAGAATAGAAAGAAGAGAAGAGAAGAGATAAAGAGAAAGAGAAGAGAGAAAAGAAGAGAGAGAGAAAGAGAGAGAGATAGAGAGCGATCATCTCTCGCTCTCCTACATCTAGCTACTACTCTATACTCTCTCGCTCGACCTCTCTCGCTAGACTCGCTCTAGTCCCTAGTCTACCTAATACACATACATTATATTCTGGTACGCATATATCCCTCTCTCTCATATCTATATATCGCTGATCTCTCTCTCTCTCTCTCTCTCTCACTCTCTCGCTATCTCCCATCTCGCTCTCTCGTCTCTCTCACCTCGCTCCTCTCTCTCCCTCCCTCTCTCTCTTACTCTCTCTCTCTCTCTCTCCTCCTCTCTCTCCTCCTCTCTCTCTCCTCCTCTCTTTCCCTTTCCTCTCTCTCCTCCTCCTCTCTAATCTCCCCTTACGCAGAGTATAACTAACTCTTCTCTCTTCCCTCTTCTCTCTCTCTCTCTCCCCCCCCACGCCTCCCTCTCTTCTCTCTCCCTCTCTCTCTAGCCGCCTCCGTCCAAAGGGGGTCCTCCCCCGTGACCCGCATCATCTATCTCCTCTTCTCTCTACTCGTCTCACGCTATCAGATCTCACTCTCTGGATCTGCGTCGAATTCGGCTGCTCTCTCCCATACTCTCATCATTAACATAATAGTACTCTTCCCTCTTCCTCTCTCTCTCTCTCTCTCCTCTCTTCTCTCTCACTCGACTCTCCCTTCCCACCCAAACCCCCACCAACCACCGCCCCACTGCGCCCCTCCCGTCCCCGTCGACTCTCTACGGTCCACTTGAATATACAGAGTTCCCTTTTATCAGCGCACACCAATCATAACTGACATATTGGTCAGTAGCTACAGTATCAACCACAGACGGCCTCCAGCCATCTGCTATCTATGATTGCCAGACTGTTTTAGTGCATTGAGTCCCATCTTCTTGTGAAATGCACTAGCAACCATGCAACACAACATTCAACATCACCCACGGTTTGGGAAGGTTGGAAGTAAATAGTATAATGGTTCGGGGGAATTTCTGTTACCAACAAAAATATTGTAAGTCATATTTACAGATACTTTTGAAAAAACTAGATGATTACTTCTCGAATTACTTTTAAAGATATTTATGGACACCTTTTCTGCTTTCTCAATGACATTCAAATCCGTCATTGAAAAAAAAGGCAAGTTTAAGGTTGTTCCACCTGAGTATTATGACACACCAAATGCCATTTGCAGTGGTGTAAAAAGTACCCAATTTTCACACTTGAGTAAGAAAAAGTCACCCAGGTAAATACCACATGAGTTAAAAGTCTAAAAGTATTGGTTTTAAATATACTTAAGTATCAAAAGTAAATGTAATTGCTAAAATATACGTAAGTATCAAAATGAAAAGTAAACGTATAAATCAAGTATAATTCCTTATAGTAGCCCGTTCCTGCAGGTCAAATGACCCAGTGACCTAATGGGTGGATTAGTTATTCATATTTTTCAACTCTATATCTGACCATGGTACAAGGGTGTCTTCTTTTTTTGAGCTCATAACCATGTGTGTTAGGTTTATATTTTTGTTTCAAAGTAGATTTGTTTAAGACTACCAAGAAATACTATGTGACCCTGATTTAGTCCACTGGAGTAAAAGGTTATTAATAAGCAAACCAGATGGCACCAATTTCTTGTACGAATAGCCAGGGGCACACTCCAACCACACACACACCATCATTTACAAACAAAGCATTTGTGTTTAGTGAGTCCGCCAGATCAGAGGCAGTAGAGATGCAGGGATGTTCTCTTTTTTTATAAGTGCTTGATTGGAACCTTTCCTGTCTGTGCTGCTAAGCATTTAAAAATGTAACGCGTACTTTTGGGTGTCAGGGAAAATGTATGGCGTAAAAAGTACATTATTTTCTTTAGGAATGTAGTGAAGTAAAAGTAAAAGTTGTCCAAACTACAAACAGAAAAGTAAAGTACAGATACTCCCAAATACGACTAAACTAAATTGTACTTTAATCCACAAACCACACGACGTAAGATTGAATGGAACCACCGAAACCAAAGAGACACCCCAACAGAGAAAGAGAAAGAGAAGATAGAGAGAGAGAGAGAGAGAGAGAGAGAGAGAGACAGACAGAGAGAGAGATACTATGAAATATACAGAGTTCCCTTTTATCAGCGCACACCAATCATAACTGACATATGTGTCAGTAGCTACAGTATCAACCACAGACAGCCTCCAGCCATCTGCTATCTATTGATGCCAGACTGTTTAAGTGCATGAGTCCATCTCTTGTGAAATGCACTAGCACCATGCACACACATTCACACACACGGTTGGGAAGTAATTGTTCAGTTATGTTACCAACAAAAATATTGTAATCATATTACAGATACTTTTGAAAAACTAGATGATTACTTCTCGGATTACTTTTAAAAGATATTATGACACCTTTCTGCTTTCTCAATGACATTCAAATCAGCATTGAAAAAAGGCACAAGTTTAAGTTTGTTCCACCTGAGTATTATGACACACCAAATGCATTTGCAGTGGTGTAAAAAGTACCCAATCGTCACACTTGAGTAAAAAAGTCACCCAGTAAAATACCACATGAGTAAAAGTCTAAAAGTATTTGGTTTTAAATATACTTAAGTATCAAAAGTAAATGTAATTGCTAAAATATACGTAAGTATCAAAATGAAAAGTAAACGTATAAATCAAGTATAATTCCTTATAGTAGCCCTTTCCTGCAGTCAAATGACCCAGTGACCTAATGGGTGGATAGTTATTCATATTTTTCAACTCTATATCTGACATGGTACAAGGTGTCTTCTTTTTTTGAGCTCATAACCATGTGTGTTAGGTTTATATTTTTGTTTCAAAGTAGATTTGTTTAAGACTACCAAGAAATACTATGTGACCCTGATTTAGTCCACTGGAGTAAAAGGTTATTAATAAGCAAACCAGATGGCACCAATTTCTTGTACGAATAGCCAGGGGCACACTCCAACACACACACACATCATTTACAAACAAAGCATTTGTGTTTAGTGAGTCCGCCAGATCAGAGGCAGTAGAGATGACCAGGGATGTTCTCTTTATAAGTGCGTGATTAGAACCTTTTCCTGTGCTGCTAAGCATTTAAAATGTAACGCGTACTTTTGGGTGTCAGGGAAAATGTATGGCGTAAAAAGTAGTACAACTCTATACTTTAGGAATGTAGTGAAGTAAAAATAAAGTTGTCCAAATATAAACCAAAACAGTAAAGTACAGACTCCCAAAAAGACGACTACAAAGTTGGTACTTATACCCCACTGGTGTGATTGATGGATCCACGACACAACACACAGAGAGAGAGAGAGAGAGAGATGAGAGAGAGAGACGAGAGGGAGAGAGAGAGAGCTGAAGGGAGAGGAGAGAGAGACGAGAGAGAGCGGCGAGAGATGAGAAGAGATGGAGAGAGAGAGAGAGGAGAGACGAGAGAGAGAGAGAGACGAGCGAGAGAGAGAGAGAGAGGAGAGAGAGAGAGAGAGAGAGCACTGTTGTGGTTTTGGCCATTAACATGGTTCCCTCGCCACCACACCCACTCCTTCCCCAAGGGGAGCAGAGCATTTACATTTTACATTTAAAGACGCTCTTATCCAGAGCGACTTACAGTTTAGTGAGTGCATACATTTTCATACTGGCCCCAGCATACTGACTTGGACACAGTCTGTCTGGGGTGACCACAGAGGGAGAGAGGGCTTGATCTGGAGGGGTGGGAGTGTGAGCATTTCTCCCAACCCTAACCCCTAAGACTAAAGCCTAAAGGGCTGGGCCTACTAGGAGCCTCATCCTCTTAAAATGTGTTTCCAACTTGCTTTTGTGATTATTACTTTGTATTTAAATATATTGGAGATGTCCTGTATAATGCTTAACATAAGCTTATAAGGCTTAGCTCTCCTCTGGTCCAAATGTAGACCTACACTCAGACATTTTTTAACACCCAAAGTGTTAACCATAAGCACTGAAACTAGCCAAGTATTGGTTAGGCAGCTTTCTTAATTATTTACATTTAAGTCATTTAGCAGACGCTCTTATCCAGAGCGACTTACAGTTAGTGCATACATTATTTATTTTTTCATACCCCCTGTGGGAATCGAACCCACAACCCTGGCGTTGCAAACGCCATGCTCTATCAACTGAGCTACATCCCTGCCGGCCATTCCCTCCCCTACCCTGGACGACGCTGGGCCAATTGCGCGCCGCCCCATGGGTCTCCCGGTCGCGGCCGGCTACGACAGAGTCTGGATTCTAACCAGGATCTCTAGTGGCACAGCTAGCACTGCGATGCAGTGCCTTAGACCACTGCGCCACTCAGACCTCATTCTACAATCTACGTGACGTGAGACCCAAAACCTATTGTTGTGTTCAGCATGAGAACTGTATTGGTCACAGGTGTGTGTGTGTGTGTGTGTGTGTGTGTGTGTGTGTGTGTGTGTGTGTTTTATCATTAGGTTTAACACACCAAATCAAATCACTTGCCTCAGAAACCTTCCTCCAAACAACCCCCCAGTCCAACCCCTGTTTGGTTCACATTCCAAACACTCCATAACATTCTCCCAAAATGTCAGAAGTATACCATGGAACAAAAACAGGGTATGGCATTCATTTTGCCCAAGGACAAAGACATGAACAGCTAGATCATAAAAGTATTAAGTTGGCAACGAGGTTAAAGATCGACTACAGCCTATGCGTCTCCTTGGCGATGTCGATTGTAAATTAGACACCAGCTGTCATCGTGTGACGGTAAATCACCTGGTTTCTATACCGACCAGGCATCTACAGCAGAGAAGGGAGGAATCTGGGCAAGACACTGCTGGCATCACATCAGATGAATGCAACACTGTACACACACCATGGGGCTGTGTGTGTGTGAGTGTGTGTGTGTGTGTGGTGTGTGAGTGTGCGTGAGTGCATGTGTGTGTGCATGTGTGTGCGTGAGTGCATGTGTGTGTGCATGTGTGTGTGCATGTGTGTGTGTGAGTGTGTGTGGAATACACTGAGAACAGGGAGTATTTTTCTTACATCATGAGGACAATGATCCATAAATGTAAAACCATACCTAGACTCGTTAATACTATAGTTAATAATAATATAATAATATATATCATTTAGCAGACACTTTTAACCAAAGCGACTAACATTCATGCGTGTATACATTTTACGTATAGGTGGTCCCGGGAATCGAACCCACTTCCCTGGCATTACAAGCGCCCATGCTCTACCAACTGAGCTACAAAGACAACAGCTGATTTAGGACCAGTGTAGTTAATGCTGTAGTTAAGACAACAACTGATCTAGGACCACTGTAGTTAATACTGTAGTTAAGACAACAACTGACCTAGGACCACTGTAGTTAATACTGTAGTTAAGACAACAACTGACCTAGGACCACTGTAGTTAATACTGTAGTTAAGACAACAACTGACCTAGGACCACTGTAGTTAATGCTGTAGTTAAGACAACAACTGACCTAGGACCACTGTAGTTAATACTGTAGTTAAGACAACAACTGACCTAGGACCACTGTAGTTAATACTGTAGTTAAGACAACAACTGACCTAGGACCACCGTATTTAATACTGTAGTTAAGACAACAACTGACCTAGGACCACCGTAGTTAATACTGTAGTTAAGACAACAACTGACCTAGGACCACTGTAGTTAATACTGTAGTTAAGACAACAACTGACCTAGGACCACCGTATTTAATACTGTAGTTAAGACAACAACTGACCTAGGACCAGTGTAGCCTCAGTGTCTCCATTCAATAAGGCCATCAAAAGCAACTCAAAGCATCTGTATTTGGGACTTATTGTTGTGGCATAGCCTGTTGCATTAGATACTATGTCTAGTAATAATCATAGCCTGTTGCATTAGATACTTAGTCTAGTAATAATGTCCTCATGCATTGTAAGTCCCCCTGGTTCTAAGCACGGAATGCCTGGCCTGCCTGGCCTGCCTGCCTGCCTACACACTTTGATCTCATGGTGGGTTTAACGGCATTCCACAGCAGATTTGCATACATCTTTATGTGTGTGTGTGTGTGCGTGTGCGTGAGGACCTAGTGGGTTCATAATGATGAAATATGGGGATATATGTGATTTGTTGTGGACAGTGCCACACAAGTGCATACACACACAAGTAGAGATATTCTAAACCCACTGAAATTAGACCAATAGAATACTGAGGATAGAACTGAGGACCGGGGCCTGGAACTGAGGCATGCTGAGCTAGTGAAATGACAGCCAGTAACCAAAGGCGTGGTAGGGAGGTCATAGACCGGTTGAAAAGGGACAGAGTGATTATAAGAGCTTGACTCGACTGGAGACTGGAGTCTCACAGGACAGAGGGAGGGAGTAGGAAGAGGGAGGGAGGGAGGGAGGGAGGGAGGGAGGGAGGGAGGGAGGGAGGGAGGGAGGGAGGGAGGGAGGGAGGGAGGGATATGATGGACTCTCACCTCCAGTCTGGTACGGTCCACATCTCTGGGTAGCTTCACTCTCACCCTGTGGGTCACAGACAGCACCTCATAGGGGTACACCTGGAAGGAACACACACACTGTCAGCTATTTAACACTACAGCCAACCTGGGTAGAGAGATAATGTAATCTACAAAGATTTAGCCAAAGATATCAAACTGTATTTGCCAAACACATGAACCTAACATGATGTGAAACACTGACCCTTACCTTGTACTCTAGAGGAGAGGAAAAGGAGGGAGGAGGAGAGAGAGAAATCTCAGATTAATGACAGGGTTATTATTTCAGTATGAAAACTACCATAAAAGAGCAAATAAATTACAGCACAAATAAAATCATACACGCGTGCAAATGAAAGTGATTATTTTAATAACTTATGAGATATTGTGTTCCAGCTCAGTACGTCAAAGGCTTTAAAAAAGTCTGGGACCCCCACACACAGTCTTTGAAACCATGCTTTTACGGGCTTGGCACTGTTTGTCCTCTCTGGCTGAGGAATAGCAAGCGCACACTGAGGCAGACAGCTCTGGAGCGGTATATACATCACACACACACTGACGTAACTCATATGGCAAAAGGATGTGGCTTCAGCACCCTTGAGTGAAAACTCGTCCACCTGAACTGCTTCCCATTAAAAGAGCATTTGCAGAATTGTAGCGTCATAGATCTCCTAATAGATCCACCCTCCTTCAACATGGCATCAATGAGCTAACAGATCTATTCTAGATCTAGTTCCTACCTCTCATTCCTCCCCAGCTGTGGGAATCCTGCTGGTCAGGCTCATCCTCAGCATGGTCGGCAACCTCCTGGGGAAGACGCACACATGCACACACACACACACACGCACACACACACAGTCGGTTAAGACTAAAAACAGACAAGGTCAAAACACTTAACTCCATCTGGTCATATTTGACAGATCATGCTGTACATTGTCATACATACATCATGTATTTACTGTACAATACAGTAACAAAGAACAGATTCATTTTTCTCTACTTTCCTTTTCTCATTGGGTTGAGGAGAAATTATTTTAAAAAATGGTCTGTCTGAAGGTCGCTACAATCACAGGGAGGTTACTCACACACACTCTCAACTGCAAACTGACTGTCGACTTTTCCCAGATTGCAATGTATTGATAGAGTTTAGGGTAACTGGGTTGGCTACAGTAGCTACAGTGCATTGTTTCTGGTTTGGTTCAGGACCCAGTCTCAATGTAACTGGATCTCTGGTGTTTAAACATGTGATGGATTTCTCAGGGAGGGAGAGAAAGGAATGACAACTTCTCCATTCTCAGCTCAGTAAATCAATGGATGTGATGGGGGCACGAGAGCATGTTTTTTTTGTTATTTTTTGTTATGGCCAAATCACCTTTGAGTAACATCAAACCCAATATGGAGTTGATTTGAATTTATTTCATTATTTTTTATAACATGCTCACATGCCCCCATCACTTCCATTGATTGTGAGCTTTTGGTGGCTAAGATTAGCTGAAGTTTGTAGTGGCTGTTTAAAGAAAACTGAACCCTGGATTACATTATCTATTGGTCCATAGACTACTTTCATGGTGAGGAACAATCTAACATTAAGTTGTAAAATAGTGGACTACTCCTTTAACCCCCCCCCCCCCCCTCAATCTTAGCCATACATTGTCTCTGTCTCAGCTGCCACAGGCATTGGTTGGTGAGGAGTAACAACCAATCAGGTTGCAGAATGAACGTATTCAGTGTAGCACGCTACTGGGGTCAGACACGGTACACGTTTCTAATTTCCTCCTAAACTTTCAGATATTTCACCCCTCTGTCTACCCCAATCCCATCCATCAACAAACACATAAGCAGCAAGAACACATCATTAAGGTTAGACTAAATAGCCTCAGTGGTAGCACAACCACCATAATAAACTATTACTGCTAAAGTCAATCTGTAGAGGGAGTGGTAACGAGTGACAGACCTACATGGAATCTGATAGGAAAGCTTTAAAACATGATTTCCCGGTCCAAAAGTGCTCTGTAGAAGTTAGAAAAACACCCAACCTTCCTGTGTTGACAAGTCAAGGGCTGTGTGTCAATACACTGAAATAGCTTCCTTTCCTAGTCAGTCTTATAACTGAAACAATTGGATTGGTTTACAGCTATTGCTTTCAAGGCTGCTAGATCAGTGATCCTGGAGAAAAGGACACAGGACACAAGGATAGAAAGCCAGTTCAACTATTGAGACACAGACCAATACAGCCTTTTTTTGACAGGAACTTCACTTTCCCTCGGCCATAACTCACTCACACCCTCGATGACAGAAAAGGCGATAAACATTGACTAAACACTACCACCTGGTGGTTAAATCAAACACTGCACCCAGTTGGCACGTCCTTCTCACAGCAATCAGCGCTGCACATTATTTAATGAGCGGCAAGCTGAGAGAGGCCTACAGACCAATCACCAATTTCTCTTTAAACGAGCTCTAATTGTTAGCACGCTTGACTAAACCCATCGGTATGGCGACAGGCACACCTAATTTCCATTTATGAGGGAGTTTTCCATTATCTCACTGAACTCTTCTGTAATCAAATCAAATTGTATTGGTCGCATACACATATTTAGCAGATGTTATTGCGGGTATAGCGAAATGCTTGTGTTCCTAGCTCCAACAGTGCACTAGTATCTAACAATTCACAACAATATACACAAATCGAAAAGTAAACGAATGGAATTTAGAAACACAAAAAATGTTCTGGGCTAATATTGTAAGAAATAACACAAAAATATACTGTGTATACTGCAAAGTTGCTTAGGAGCTAGAATCAGAGCTGCCATGTTTGTCGGCGCCATCTTCAAGTGTCAAAAGGACAGTAAATTCTGAATCACATCGAATCAAACGCCTGGCTGGGATAGGACTGAACTGACTGTCCCCATGCCAGAGGCTCACGCCCTCGTTAGAGAGGGCAAAACTACACCCCCTCTGCCGGTGTGCCCTGACGCTTACATTTAATTGGGTCATCACATCGTGTCATTGGGGTGTGAGGCCAACTGGTGCAAGTGTGTGTGTGTGTGTGTGTGTGTGTGTGTGTGTGTGTGTGTGTGTGTGTGTGTGTGGTGAGTGTGTGTGAGTTAGGATGCTATTCCTCTGAAGGAGAGAGAGAGAGAGAGAGACTGAATTGTAATGATGGCACTCGACACGCTACATGAGGTAATGGCAGTCAGACGTGAACCTGCTGAACCAGTGTCACAGTATTATCAGCAGTAGGTTCCATAGAAATGGACTATGTTACTTTCCTCACAATCATAGAAGCCTGTGTTCACTTTATAGTGTGTGAGTATGACAACGTACCTTGTAAATGCCATTCCTTCCATATCCTGGCAGGGAAGCACACTTATTGTAAGGGAAGTCTGTAAGGAAAGAAACAAAATATCTAAGTCATCTATAAACACTCATTGGCTACTCTTTCAACCTAAAGTGAACGCATTGGTTGAGCCCCTGCCAGTCAAGTGAGGGTTAACCACTGATTGGCTACTCACTGGTCCGGGAGGTGTCAGTGGGCAGGCTGCAGGTAGACTTCCTGGGGTCCAGCAGGTACTCTGGGAGGGGCTCACCGTCTATCTCACTCTTCAAGATCATGAGTGTCCTTGTCGTATAGAGAGATAGGAACGTGAGCTGGATCTAGTGTGGGTGGATGGATGGAGGTAGTGATAGATAGTGTATGTAGATGGATGGATGGAGGTAGTGGATAGATACTGTATGTAGATGGATGGATGGGTAGTGATAGATACTGTATGTAGATGGATGGATGGAGGTAGTGATAGATACTGTATGTAGATGGATGGATGGAGGTAGTGATAGATACTGTATGTAGATGGATGGATGGAGGTAGTGATAGATACTGTATGTAGATGGATGGATGGATGTAGTGATAGATACTGTATGTAGATGGATGGATGGATGTAGTGATAGATACTGTATGTAGATGGATGGAGGTAGTGATAGATAATGTATGTACAGTGAGGGAAGAAAGTATTTGATCCCCTGCTGATTTTGTACGTTTGCCCACTGACAAAGACATGATCAGTCTATAATTTTAATGGTAGGTTTATTTGAACAGTGAGAGACAGAATAACAACAACAAAAATCCAGAAAAATGCATGTCAAAATGTTATAAATGTATTTGCATTTTAATGAGGGAAATTAGTATTTGACCCCTCTGCAAAATATGACTTAGTACTTGGTGGCAAAACCCTTGTTGGCAATCACAGAGGTCAGACGTTTCTTGTAGTTGGCCACCAGGTTTGCACACATCTCAGGAGGGATTTTGTTCCGCTCCTTTTTGCAGATCTTCTCCAAGTCATTAAGGTTTCGAGGCTGACGTTTGGCAACTCAAACCTTCAGCTCCCTCCACAGATTTTCTATGGGATTAAGGTCTGGAGACTGGCTAGGCCACTCCAGGACCTTAATGTGGTTCTTCTTGAGCCACTCCTTTGTTGCCTTGGCCGTGTGTTTTGGGTCATTGTCATGCTGGAATACCCATCCACAACCCATTTTCAATGCCCTGGCTAAGGGAAGGAGGTTCTCACCCAAGATTTGACAGTACATGGCCCCGTCCATCGTCCCTTTGATGCGGTGAAGTTGTCCTGTCCCCTTAGCAGAAAAACACCCCCAAAGCATAATGTTTCCACCTCCATGTTTGACTGTGGGGATGGTGTTCTTGGGGTCATAAGCAGCATTCCTCCTCCTCCAAACACGGCGAGTTGAGTTGATGCCAAAGACCTCGATTTTGGTCTCATCTGACCACAACACTTTCACCCAGTTCTCCTCTGAATCATTCAGATGTTCATTGGCAAACTTCAGACGGCCCTGTATATGTGCTTTCTTGAGCAGGGGGACCTTGCGGGTGCTGCAGGATTTCAGTCCTTCACGGCATAGTGTGTTACCAATTGTTTTCTTGGTGACTATGGTCCCAGCTGCCTTGAGATCATTGACAAGATCCTCCCGTGTAGTTCTGGGCTGATTCGTCACCATTCTCATGATCATTGCAATTCCACGAGGTGAGATCTTGCATGGAGCCCCAGGCCGAGGGAGATTGACAGTTCTTTTGTGTTTCTTCCATTTGCGAATAATCGCACCAACTATTGTCACCTTCTCACCGAGCTGCTTGGCGATGGTCTTGTAGCCCATTCCAGCCTTGTGTAGGTCTACAATCTTGTCCCTGACATCCTTGGAGAGCTCTTTGGTCTTGGCCATGGTGGAGAGTTTGGAATCTGATTGATTGATTGCTTCTGTGGACAGGTGTCTTTTATACAGGTAACAAGTTGAGATTAGGAGCACTCCCTTTAAGAGTGTGCTCCTAATCTCAGTTCGTTACCTGTATAAAAGACACCTGGGAGTCAGAAATCTTTCTGATTGAGAGGGGGTCAAATACTTATTTCCCTCATTAAAATGCAAATAAATTTATAACATTTTTGACATGCGTTTTTCTGGATTTCTTTGTTGTTATTCTGTCTCTCACTGTTCAAATAAACCTACCATTAAAATTATAGACTGATCATTTCTTTGTCGGTGGGCAAACGTACAAAATCAGCAGGGGATCAAATACTTTTTTCCCTCACTGTAGATGGATGGATGGATGTAGTGATAGATACTGTATGTAGATGGATGGATGGAGGTAGTGATAGATACTGTATGTAGATGGATGGATGGATGTAGTGATAGATACTGTATGTAGATGGATAAATAAATTGATGTGTAGGCAAGTAGGCGAGCAGATGGATGTACAGACGGACGGACGGACGGACGGACGGACGGACGGACAGGCATACGCCTCACCTTGATGTCATCTCCTTCTTGCCAGGAAGTTCTAGAGGCTGTAAAACATACATTATGTTATAAACCACACTCCTGTTACACTATATGACTGTATAGCATGTCACATTACTGTTCCGGGCCGTACCACACATCTGTCTACCAGCCATGTTACAGTATGCACGGAAAGACTGTATCCTATAATAAATCAACTCAACACTATGACATCATCATCACTAGACAGCCTGTCGAGAATCTCCAAATGGGTCATGACATAGTTACAGTACTGTTGTATAACTAACTATTACTAGTACGTATAGTATGTATTCAACTACCACTATATGTAGTTTTCTCAAATGGGCAGTTTTATAAGATAGAAAGTAGCCTATTTACTGGGGAACAGTTGGTGAAATAGTGCTTTTCTTTTATGCAGGCAAATGCATGCTCTTGTTCATGAGCTCAAGCCTGGTAGAATATATACAAACTAAACTGAAAACGGTTTACTCATAAATTGTGAATAATGTCACATTCTACATATGGCTGTGATTTAGTTGTCATATTTCACGTATTGTAGATCTTGAAGGGCTTTAGAAGAATCCTCCATAGTGTAACACAGAAGATAATACGGCACATGCATTATATTATTATAAGGGATTCTGGGGCATCTACACACTCACACATAGAAAAACGGATAAATATCTGGGAAAAAAATGTAAACACGACATACACAAAGGGTTAAGTGGAACAGGAAGTGACCAAGACACCATCAGCACCACAACACCAAGTGAGTCATGTTCTCGACCAATCACAATGGAGACACAACACACGTACTAGTAGAACCAATGAGCTACTGAGATGGGTGTGGGCAGGCATGTAGGGATGGGCAGAAACATAATCGTAAAGGTGTAAGAAACTAAAAAGGATAAATAAAATATTGATATGGCCAATTTAGTTTTCCATGTTAGGCTTTCAACTCAGGCAACAATGAAGCGGATTGTACTTTAGATACTAGATCACACGTGTGCGTGTAGCGGTATATGGCTACGGTTGACATAGGGAGCAAAGGTCAGTGTGTTATGGACCACTATACTACAAATTTACTGTAAATATTTCAACATGGCTCCTTGAATTGGTTGCAGTGACTCTGTCGCCTGAAGTTGTAAAGCCTTGTCCGTTCGAAAAGACTGGAGATGGGACAGAATAATGGGTCATATAGAAAGGAATAGGATGACGATTGCCCTATAGACACTGATCTTAGATCAGTTTCATGTTCCCCCTCTAATGGTTAGAGTTAGATTCTGGGAGGGGAAAGCTGATCCTAGATCTGTGTTTACGGGCAACTTCTACTAGGAGCGTATGGGACAGGTGACATGCGACACATCGTGCAGAGACCAGACCAGGAAGTTAGACCAGGAAGCAGAGGAGGATAGTGGACTGTACCATGCTGTTTGTAGATAGGGGGTTTTCTATAGATATTATCTATCTTGACCTTAGTCTCTGAAGATGAGAGGAGGAGAGGAGGAGAGCAATGAAAGAAGCCCAGGATGAGAAAGAAAGAAAGAAAGAAAGAAAGAAAGAAAGAAAGAAAGAAAGAAAGAAAGAAAGAAAGAAAGAAAGAAAGAAGCATGAGTTAGCAGTTATTGAGAGATGGAATAGTCTAGCAAGCAGCAGTGTAATAGGAGCAGTATATTTCATGGTAGATTCAATGCGAGACATATGGCATTTCTATTATAACTGGCACGACAGGGTATTATCTCAGATAAATCATCACTTGTTGTCATTATTCATGCAACATACATGCCATTTCCATCGTCTAATGATCAAGTCCTATGGTAATGTGAAGCAGAAACCAATGAAAATACATTTCTAGAACAATGGTAATTGTTGATCAGTGTTGTATCCAACAATATATTTACTCGTGTTTCCAAAGTCAGAGTCATAAATAATATATATATATATCTTTATGTATTTTCCCTAATTACAACACATCATTCATTACTGCATCTAGAGCAAATATAACGAGCATCATCCTAAACAAATAAACAAATCAAACAATAAATAAAAAGGGCAAATTATTCAATTCAAATTATTCAATAAAAAGAAATGGGGTAAGTGAGTCTTTCTACAGATAATTGACACACTATGCCTGTCCCAAGCTGACCCAGTCCGTCACACTTTCAATGACAGAGACACTTAGCTAGTAACAACTGCTATACATTAACTCAACTCCAATCTTTTTTAGGATAAATAATTCATGAAATACAACACATGTGGGCCATTTTCTGCCCTGTTTCAGCCACTGCCAGCGCCGCTGAACAAGACACATATGAAAGCCATAAAAACAATGGTTAGAAAACACATTAAGTAGATAATCACTTTGGTTTGTTCATTTATTTACATAAACTCCATCCAAGTATGGGATTACATTTTTTTTTTTAAACATATGGGTGAGTGACACTGTAAAAGTCAATGGAAATAGGATGGATTAAAAGGACTTTTCACTAGAAGAGTCAGTTACATCCAATGCACTATAAAATGTTAAAACTTATCAAAGGATGGTTGACAGAATATGATGCAGGGTCATAGACTTAGTTAGACTTCTCATCTTTGTATCTGTCCCACGGCATCTGTGACAGTAGACTCTCCATTTTAAAGTAGTCAATATCTTCTTTTACTATTTCTATGAGATGGTAAACAAACTGTAGTGTGACAAACAAGGTTGGTGACTTACTTTCACCTGAAGTTGTGGAATGTTTGCTCACCAGACCTGGGTTCAATTACTATTTGAAATATCTCAATTACTTTCACATACATTTCAAATTAAGTATCAGATATGTTTTACTTGAAATTACAAGTAGGTGAATACTGTAATGTATTTGGAAATACATTTAGTATTGGCATGTATTTGAAAATACTCACAGAGTATTTTCTAATACAAATAAATACTTCCATGCATTTGAGCCCAGGTCCTAGAAATATTTGAAATAAGTATTGGAAAATATTTTCAAATACTTCCAATAGAAGTAGTTGAATTTGGCCACATTATTTGAAAACACTCAAACACACAGAAAGTAAATATTTAAATAAGAAATAATCAATGTATTTGAACCCATAATGGATTGCATAATAAGAGGATATGATGATGTTGATACAATGTGTGTGTTACAGTGGGTGAGATTCTAACAAATGTCAATTTACCTGTGGAACTGAAGACACATTCAGCATTCAGATTTAGACAGACCTCAACATATAATATAGAATAGATCACAACATAGGATAGAGAAAGAGGAGAGGGAGAAAGAGAGATTCAGAGAGAAAGATACATTAAGAAAGAGAGAGAGGGACAGTGAGACGGATAGATCGAGGGAACGTGAGACAGATAGATCGAGGGACAGTGAGACAGATAGATTGAGGGAACGTGAGACAGATAGATCGAGGGAACGTGAGACAGATAGATTGAGGGACAGTGAGACAGATAGATCGAGGGAACGTGAGACAGATAGATCGAGGGACAGTGAGACAGATAGATCGAGGGAACGTGAGACAGATAGATCGAGGGACAGTGAGACAGATAGATCGAGGGACAGTGAGACAGATAGATCGAGGACAGTGAGACAGATAGATCGAGGGACAGTGAGACAGATAGATTGAGGGAACGTGAGACAGATAGATCGAGGGAACGTGAGACAGATAGATTGAGGGACAGTGAGACAGATAGATCGAGGGAACGTGAGACAGATAGATCGAGGGACAGTGAGACAGATAGATCGAGGGAACGTGAGACAGATAGATCGAGGGAACGTGAGACAGATAGATCGAGGGAACGTGAGACAGATAGATCGAGGGACAGTGAGACAGATAGATCGAGGGACAGTGAGACAGATAGATCGAGGGACAGTGAGACAGATAGATCGAGGGAATGTGAGACAGATAGATTGAGGGACAGTGAGACAGATAGATAGAGGGACAGTGAGACGGATAGATCAAGGGAACGTGAAGACCAGATAGATTGAGGGAACAGTGAGACAGAGTAGATCGAGGGACAGTGAGACAGAAATCGAGGATCGAGTGAGACGAAGTCGAGGGACCATGAAACAGATAGATTGAAGGTACAGTGAGACAGATAGATCGAAGGGAAGTGAGACAGAATATCGATCGAGGGTAATGTGAGACAGATAGATCGAGGGACAGAGAGACAGATGATTGAGGGGTTCAGTGATACGATAGAGATAGAGGGACATTGAGACAGATTAGATAGCCGGGTACAGTGAGACGGATAGATTTGAGGTACCGGTGAGACAGATAGATCGAGGGGAACAGTGAGACAGATGATCGAAGGGACAGTGAGACAGATAGATCGAGGGAACAGGTGACGACAGATAGATCCGAGGGACCAGTTGAGACTGGATGATCGAGGGAACAGTGTAGAGCGGATAGATTCGAGGGACAGTGAGACAGATAGATTCAGGGAATGTGAGACAGATAGATTGAGGGAACGTGAGAGATAGATTGAGGGAAAGTGAGACGGATAGATCGAGGGAACGTGAGACAGATAGATTGAGGGAACGTGAGACAGATAGATTGAGGGAACGTGAGACAGGGAGTCAGAAGTACTATGGACAGGATAGGTCCGGAAGAAACCCTTTGACAGGGATAAAAACTGACACAGGAAGACAGGGAGAACAGAGAAGGGTTCACCCCAGACATCAGATATACCTACTTAGATCCGTTACCTAGACAGACCTGGACAGAGACAGCAGACAGATGGCGTGGTGCAATAGAGAGAGAGGTTGTGTTGAGAGTTCAAGGGTCATCGGTTCAAAGGTGAGAGGTCGAAGCGAAGCGGTGGACCTACCTGGTACGTGGAAATGCCTGGGAGCAGCCACATAGGTGAAGGAGGGAGATTTGCAGTCGGAATACGTGGACAAACTGGGGGTACTCCGACCACTTTCACTACCTCCAATGGGGAATGGATGGGGAGGGACGGGGGAGAGCAAGAGTCGTGGACAAAAGAGGGGGGCAAAGAATTATGCTGTTGTGCTTAATTGGTCAAAGCTTTAATTATGAAGCTGATCTATTATTATTCATTATATTACCAACTGACTTGATTACCCAGCAGCCATTAGTTATTGTTGGACCATGAGTTTGTCTGGACCAGTTATGCAGACCAGGAAAAACTCTCAACCTTTGTTATTGGTCAAGGCTCATATCCATATCATAAAGCATGAATGAAGTTTTTGAGAATCTTAAAAAGGCAGAGTGCTCTAAAAAAATAGGTTGGCTGGCTAGCTATAAGCTTTACAGTTAACAGCAATGCATTGTGGACATGGACACATGTTGAGAACGGACAATGCCAATGTGGTTTCACTTCCAACTGAAAGAGTGTGTGATTATGTGATCACCACAGTCCATCACAATACATTGTGTCACACAGGCTGGCTGATTAAGTCACTAGCCCCTTATAGGCCAGAGGTAATACATATCCATGTAAGAGGGCTTAGAGGAACAGAGGACGAAGGGGAAAGAAAGACGAGAAAGAGGAGGAGGAAAAAGAGGAGAAAAAGTGTTATTTTCCTGAACGCACACACTTCACTGGCCTTTGTGGGAGGAGCAAAGCAGTTGGGATGATGTAATTCTGACACACACAAGCACTAATGTACAGGCACGCACGTGTACACACACACACACACACACACACACACACACACACACACACAGTGCCGTTAGTGCAGAGCAGCTCCTCCACACATCTGGAGCTGAGGCAGGACTCTGAGCCCAGGGAGAGGTAAGGGAGGGGGGTACTGGTGGTTAGGAGGTATGACTCTCAGCAATGTCATAGAGAGACTTAGCTTATCTCCGAATTAAGCATTTCACAAATGGTAGCAATCCATCATTCAGGAAGTAATCATGTAATGTTGATACAGTTGTCATTGCATCATTCGCATAAATTCATTGAGTGGATTTTCTTTCTGTCATTGCTTATGCCTCTGACTCACTCACTTTTTTCTCTTTTTCTGTCTCTACCTCACAACCTCCTTCACTCTCATCTCTCTCACACCCTGCCTGCCTCCATCACCCACTCTTTTTCTGTCTCTACCTCACAACCTCCTTCACTCTCATCTCTCTCACACCCTGCCTGCCTCCATCACCCACTCTTTTTCTGTCTCTACCTCACAACCTCCTTCACTCTCATCTCTCTCACACCCTGCCTGCCTCCATCACCCACTCTTTTTCTGTCTCTACCTCACAACCTCCTTCACTCTCATCTCTCTCACACCCTGCCTGCCTCCATCACCCACTCTTTTTCTGTCTCTACCTCACAACCTCCTTCACTCTCATCTCTCTCACACCCTGCCTGCCTCCATCACCCACTCTTTTTCTGTCTCTACCTCACAACCTCCTTCACTCTCATCTCTCTCACACCCTGCCTGCCTCCATCACCCACTCTTTTTCTGTCTCTACCTCACAACCTCCTTCACTCTCATCTCTCTCACACCCTGCCTGCCTCCATCACCCACTAATAGTGTTGAAACCAAACATCTAACAATTATCCACAAACACAATAACTTAAACAAGTCCAGAGAAAGAGAGAACCTGATAGTCCATTAAAACAGTGCATAAAACAAACAAGTATCTTTCACGCTGTGTTAGGAACCGCTTGAGCCTGAACAGGCAACTGGCCCAGTGTGTGTGGTGTGTGTGTGTGTGTGTGTGCGCGTGCACCGAACGGCGTGCCACTGCAACCAGACCGCAAATTACAACACCACCACTTCACCATTCCTCCTCTCCTCTCTTTCATTCCCTCATTCCTCCTCTCCTCTCTTTCATCTTAGTTCGCTGAGAACTTTACTTTCCATCTCTCTGCCTTTCATGGAAAAACCACCAAACCCTGGACCGCGTGTTCTGATTTACAGTACTAACGCTCGGCTGCAACCTCGTCCATCTCCATCTCTCTCTTTCCCTCTTTTTCCCCTCCTTCTCAATGATTTTTCCTTCCCCCTCCAACTTCTTTATCAGCCCAAAAGTAACCCTCTTCCAACCCCTATGCAACCGCATTACTTTAGATCTTTCCCCCTCTCTTTCACCCTCCTTTACCCTCCCTCTCCCTCTTCCTAACGCATGAGGCTCGATATTATCAGCCCATAAAACAGAGATATCCCTCCACTTATCTCCAAAACAGAGATATCCCTCCACTTATCACAAAAAAAGAGATATCCCTCCACTTATCTCAAAAACAGAGATATCCCTCCACTTATCTCCAATGACCCAAAGAGTCCCAAGCTCTAAAAGCCCAGGGGAATAAGCCAGCCCACCACTGGCATATGTATCATGGTGTGTCTTCAGTGATCCAACTCCAGGACCAGTGAAAAGAGCTGATGGGTATCTAAGGAGGCCTTTGTGCTGAGGCTTTAGAGGGGCAGCTAAAGCAATCCCTTTTTCTAATCTCCTTTCTGAGGGAAACTGAATGCCCGTTGTCTTACCTAGTCCCGCACACGTGCATTTGTCAAAAGTTTCGGTCAAGTCGACCGTTTCAGTCAAAGACATTTCTTCACAGATCGTGTATGTGGCTTTATCCTGTGGTTCCAACCTGGACCGCAGACCAACATCTTTTATTATCTAAACGTAGACGCCTACTCCCCATACCCCCCCCGTCAGTAACCCTCCCACAATCATGTAACCACCCACCTGCACTTTCACCCACTCACTCCATACACAACCACCACCTGAAACCAAAAGGTGTGAAGGCCCGAAAGACACTGAATAACAACATGAACCTTTAAGGCAAGGCATGGTTCCCAAAATAACAACAACAACATACACACTAACAGGTCATCCATGTCAAGTCAAGGGCAAGCCAACAGTTCAGGTTACAAGTACAACATCCCACCAAACATAGAAAGTCATCCACCACCTTCTCCCACAATACCAATACCAATATATCCCCATGTCAAGGATAACTGAAATACATACAAATACATACAAGTAATATCAAACATATCCACAATTCCCATGCACAACAACAAGACGAAGACAACCTGAAGACAAAAAGAGAAACAACTTCCACAGACAATAGAAAGGGCAAGCAGAAACAAACATAAGGGGTGGTCCAAACACACAACCTTGATGCGCACCAAGACAACCCAGCAGTACACTGAGAGAAAGAGACACAGAGACATAGAGACCAGGGGGGTCTGGTGCGTTACCGTGACCGTGAGGAGGTAAATTGAGATGCAGGGACGTCTTAGGTTGAGATTCAGGTGGTAGTAGGGGGTCCTGTTTGAGGCCTAGGGGGGAGGTAGGGGGAGAAGGGGGAAGGGGGGGGGAAGAGAGGAAGCACAGGGAGGTGGTTTGACACGTCACACCTGTGTGGGTAGGGGAATCCTCATGTAGGTTAAAGGAGGTAATATTATACTCTATTTAGGGGAATCCTCATGTAGGATGAAGGAGGTAATATTATACCCTACTTAGGGGAATCCTCATGTAGGATGAAGGAGGTAATATTTACCCTACTTAGGGGAATCATGTAGGATGAAGGAGGTAATATTATACCCTACTTATGGGAATCCTCATGTAGGATGAAGGAGGTAATATTATACCCTACTTAGGGGAATCCTCATGTAGGATGAAGGAGGTAATATTATACCCTACTTAGGGGAATCATCATGTAGGATGAAGGAGGTAATATTATACCCTACTTAGGGGAATCATCATGTAGGATGAAGGAGGTAATATTATACCCTACTTAGGGGAATCCTCATGTAGGATGAAGGAGGTAATATTATACCCTACTTAGGGGAATCCTCATGTAGGATGAAGGAGGTAATATTAACCCTACTTAGGGGAATCCTCATGTAGGATGAAGGAGGTAATATTATACCCTACTTAGGGGAATCCTCATGTAGGATGAAGGAGGTAATATTATACCCTACTTATGTGAAGAAAAATTGTGTTTACGGTAACTCTGATGGGGGGTGGTGGGGGTGCTGACATTAGAGAAAAAATAGGACTAAATTATATAGTGAACAAAAATGTAAATGCAACATGTAAAGTGTTGGTCCCATGTTTCATGAGCTGGTCAATTGTAGCTCAGTTGATAGAGCATGGCGCTTACAATGCTAGGATACTGGGTTTGATTCCCAGGACCACCCATACATAAAATGTATGCATGCATGACTGTAAGTCGCTTTGGATAAAGCGTCTGCTAAATGGCACATATACAGTGCCTTCAGAAAGTATTCAGACCCCTTGACTTTTTTCCACATTTTGTTATGTTACAGCCTTATTCTGAAATTGATTAAATAAATACAAATCCTCAGCAATCTACACAGAATGCCCCATAATGACAAAGCAAAAACAGGTTTTTTGAAATGTTTGCAAATGTATTAAAAATAACAAACAGAAATACCTTATGTACATACTGTACCAGTCAAAAGTTTGTAAACACCTACTCATTCAAGGGTTTTTCTTTATTTTTTACTATTTTTCACATTGTAGAATAATAGTGAGACATCAAAACTATGAAATAACACATATGGAATCATGTAGTAACCAAAAAAGTGTTAAACAAATCAAAATATATTTTATATTTGAGATTCTTCTAAGTAGCCACCCTTTGCCTTGATGACAGCTTTGCACACTCTTGGAATTCTCTCAACCAGCTTCATGAGGTACTCACCTGGAATTAATTTCAATTAACAGGTGTGCCTTGTTAAAAGTTTGAGACAATCAGTTGTTTTGTGACCAGGTAGGTGTGGTATAGAGAAGATAGCCCTATTTGGTAAAGGACCAAGTCCATATTATGGCAAGAACAGCTCAAATAAGCAAAGAGAAATGACAGTCCATCATTACTTTAAGACATGAAGGTCAGTCAATATGGAACATGTCAAGAACTTTGAAAGTTTCTTCAAGTGCAGTCGCAAAAACCATCAAGCGCTATGATGAAACTGGCTCTCATGAGGACCGCCACAGGAATGGAAGACCCAGAGTTACTTCTGATGCAGAGGATAAATTCATTAGAGTTAACTGCACCTCAGATTGCAGCCCAAATAAATGCTTCACAGAGTTCAAGTAACAGACACATCTCAACATCAACTGTTCAGAGGAGACTGTGTGAATCAGGCCTTCATGGTCGAATTGCTGCAAAGAAACCACTACTAAAGGACACCAATAAGAAGAAGAGACCTGCTTGGGCCAAGAAACACAAGCAATGGACATTAGACCGGTGGAAATCTGTCCTTTGGTCTGATGAGTCCAAATTTGAGATTTTTGGTTCCAACCACCGTGTCTTTGTGAGACGCAGAGTAGGTGAACGAATGATCTCAGCATATGTGGTTCCCACTGTGAAGCGAGGAGGAGGTGTGATGGTGTGGGAGTGCTTTGCTGGTGACACTGTCAGTGATTTATTTAGAATTCAAGGCACACTTAACCAGCATGGCTACCACAGCATTCTGCAGCGATACGCCATCCCATCTGGTTTGCGCTTAGTGGGACTATCATTTGTTTTTCAACAAGACAATGACCCAACACACCTCCAGGCTGTGTAAGGGCTACTTGACCAAGAAGGAGAGTGATGGAGTGCTGCATCAGATGACCTGGCCTCCACAATCACCCAACCTCAACCCAATTGAGATGGTTTGGGATGAGTTGGACCGCAGAGTGAAGGAAAAGCAGCCAACAAGTGCTCAGTGTGGGAACTCCTTCAAAACTGTTGGAAAAGCATTCCTCATGAAGCTGGTTGAGAGAATGCCAAGAGTGTGCAAAGCTGTCATCAAGGCAAAGGGTGGCTACTTTGAAGAATCTCAAATATAAAATATATTTTGGTTACTACATGATTCCATATGTGTTATTTCATAGTTTTGATGTCTTCACTATTATTCTAAAACGTAGAAAATAGTAAACATAAAGAAAAACCCTTGAATGAGTAGGTGTGTCCAAACTTTTCACTGGTACTGTAAGTATTCTGACCCTTTGCTATGAGACTCGAAATTGAGCTCAGGTGTATCCTGTTTCCATTGATCATCCTTGAGATGTTTCTACAACTTGATTGGAGTCCACCTGTGGTAAATTCAATTGATTGGACATGATTTGGAAAGGTACACCCCTGTCTATATAAGGTCCCACAGTTGACAGTGCATGTCAGAGCAAAAACCAAACCATGGAGGTCTAGACAGGATTGTGTCGAGGCACAGATCTGGGGAAGGGTACCAAAAAATGTCTGCAGCATTGAAGGTCCACAAGAACACAGTGGCCTCCATCATTCTTAAATGGAAGAAGTTTGGAACCACCAAGACTCTTCCTAGAGCTGACCGCCCGGCCAAACTTAGCAGTCAGGGTAGAAGGGCCTTGGTCAGGGAGGTGACCAAGAACCTGATGGTCATTCTGACTGAGCTCTAAAGATCCTCTGTGGAGATGGGAGAACCTTCCAGAAGGACAACCATCTCTGCAGCACTCCACCAATCAGGTCTTGATGGTAGATACGGCCATACGGAAGCCACTACTCAGTAAAAGACACATGACACCCCGCTTGGAGTTTGCCAAAAGGCACCTAAAGACTCTCAGACCATGAGAAACAAGATTCTCTTGTCTGATGAAACCAAGATTGAACTCTTTGGCCTGAATGCCAAGCGTCACGTCTGGAGGAAATCTGGCACCATGCCTACGGTAAATCATAGTGGTGGCAACATCATGCTGTGGGGAGGTTTTTCAGCGGCAGGGACTGGGAGACTAGTCAGGATCGAGGCAAAGATGAACGGAGCAAAGTACAGAGAGATCCTTGATGAAAACCTGCTCCAGAGTGCTCAGGACCTCAGACTGGGGCGAAGCTTCACCTTCCAACAGGACAACGACCCTAAGCACACAGCCAAGACAACACAGGAGTGGCTTCGGAACAAGTCTCTGAATGTCCTTGAGTGGCCCAGCCAGAGCCCGGACTTGAACCCGATCTAACATCTCTGGAGAGACCTGATAACAACTGTGCAGCGACGCTCCCCATCCAACCTGACAGAGTTTGAGAGGATCTGCAGAGAAGAATGGGAGAAACTCCCCAAATATAGGTGTGCCAAGCTTTTAGCGTCATACCCAAGAAGACTCGAGGCTGTAATCGCTGCCAAAGGTGCTTCAACAAAGCACTGAGTAAAGGGTCTGAATACTTATGTAAATGTCATATTTCCGGTTCTAAAAACCTTTTTTTGCTTTGTCATTATGGGGTATTGTGTGTAGATTGAAAAAAACAATTTTATCAATTTTATAATAAGGCTGTAACCTAACAAAATGTTGCCGAAGGCACTGTATCTATTATATTTACATTTACTATAAATTATATTAAATAAAAGATCCAAGAAATTTTCCATACGCATAAATAGCTTATTTCTCTCAAAATTAGTGCACAAATTTGTTTACATCCCTGTTAGTGAGCATTTCTCCTTTGCCAAGATAGTCCATCCACCTGACAGGTGTGGCATATCAAGAAGCTGATTAAACAGCATGATCATTTCATGTTCATTTCTCTACCATAAGCCGTTTTAGAGAATTTGGCAGTACGTCCAACCGGCCTCAGTGGCTTGCTGATGTCACCGTTGTGAACAGAGTACCCCGTGGTGGCGGTGGGGTTACGGTATGGGCAGGCATAAGCTACGGACAACAAACAAAATTGAATTTTATCAATGGCAATTTGAATGCACAGAGTTACCGTGACAAGATCCTGAGGCCCATTGTCGAGCCATTTATCCGTCGTCATCACCTCATGTTTCAGCATGATAATGCACGGCCCCATGTCGCAAGGATCTGTACACAATTCCTGGAAGCTGAAAATGTCCCAGTTCTTTCAAGGCCAGACATGTCACCCATTGAGCATGTTTGGGATGCTCTGGATTGACGTGTATGACAGCGTGTTCCCGCCAATATCCAGCAACTTCACACAGCAATTGAAGAGGAGTGGGACAACATTCCAGCCACAGGCCTAATCAACTCTATGTGAAGGAGATGTGTCATGCTGCATGAGGCAAATAAATGGTGGTCACACCAGATACTGACTGGATCCACACCCTTACCTTTTTTTTAAAGGTATCTGTGACCAACAGATGTATATTTGTGACTCGTTTCAGGAAACTAAGTGTATGTCTACTTTACAGGAGAGGTATTTGAACGTAAACATTCATCTTTTATCAAAATGCGTTTTTTGGCAGAAATGCCTTCTGGAACATGTGAACTTTCATGTGCCTTAATAACAAATGTGTACGCCATCTGTAAATACGAATAAAATGGTTAAATTATGATTCTAGTTGGTTTAGCCACGGAAAAAGACAGGAACCTTCCCACTAGTGATTGGCTGAGATAATGGATGGGCTGGACATGCCGAGAGATGAATTCGGATTGGTCTGCCATGTAGCACGCTTCTGTCTATGAGCTGCTCAGTATGTGTAGGTAATCCTTTCTAACATGTTTTCTTTTCTTTTAAGATATCACAAAGAACTGCAAAAGTGTTGCTCTCCACTTTCTGGAGGACCGAGGTTTGAAATCAGCGGAATGCCCAGTGGAAGCAGAGTATGATAGCTAAGGAGATAGAGAAAATTCAGGCGTTTGATTGCAAATATGCGGGGGGAGTCGGAAAGACAACACACAGAAGTCTGTTGTATAAAACACCTGCCTCCGGATTACATCTTCAAACTAAGGGCAACCATGGCATCCGTGATAGAGAGGGAGAAGTGTTCATCCACGTATACGGGTAAGAGAGTCTAGCTAGCTACATTTTCAGATATTATACGTTTCTAATTTTGTTAGAAAGTCTTCATTGCAAGTTAAAGAGTACTGTTAGCTAGCTAGCTAACGTTAGCTGGCTGGCTTGCTAGCTAATGTTATGTGTATGATCTGTGTAGTAATATTATTTGTATCTCAGAGCCATTTGCATTGCTAGTTATAGCCTAATGTTAGCTAGCTAGCTAACATTGAACCTAGTTGGTTAGCTACCTGCAGATTCATGCAGGGTATTAACGTTATGAGTAATGAGCTACATGTCTAAACAAAAGACTCCACTATGCAAGTAACTATTTTACTGTACCTTTTACACCTTATGTGTCCTGTGCATGTGACAAATAAACTTAGATTTTATTTGATATAGTGTGTGTTTACCAGAGACGGTAATGTGAAGAACAACATGACCTGCACCAACGTCAGATTAGGACAAGACAGTGTCTAAATTCTACAATTCTCCAGTAGAATGCCCTGCGTCACACTCACAACCTTAAGCTATTTCCTGTAATTAGCTTGCCATTAACTTGTAAATAATGAGTTTATTTTGTTGTGAGTTTATTTTCCTGTAATAATTAATACAAATTAGCTCAAGTTAAGACGTTGTCAGCTAGATGATATGGGCCTCATTTGAATTGGCTAGCCAGCTAACTTAACATTAGCCAGCTAGCTAACTAGCTAGAAACTAACCAAAACATTGTTTAGAAAGTTGCTTTTAGTTGCGTGGTTTGCTAGATTGACATATACTAAATTCATTTTTAAATGGATGGGTTAATTGGTGTTAAAATACACCAGATATGCTATTTTGGACCACCAGGCTGCTGATGTCATGCAGCCTATAGTTTTTGTGTTTATACTTTTTAATAATGACAACAACAAGTTTGATGTCAGATGACAATAGAATGTTCATGATGTCACTGCGACAACTGTCTACAGTCTTGTCGATAGACGTAGTATAAACCAGCCTTTAGTCGTTTAGTAAGTACACTACCGTACTCACTCTGTTTAGCACATGGCCTCACATGTGAATCCTTAAAGAGATGGGTGGGGCTAAGGCTTAAGAGGGTGTGAACGATGCTGAATGGGTGTAGACAAAGAAGAGTTCTCCAGTAAGTGTACTAAAACCAAGGGTCATTTTCTCAAAAGTCGGGTTACAAGTTTATCAACTTTCAAACCAGAATTACTTTCCCATTGTTCCTCAAATGAAGTGTATGATATACAATTTTCTAGCTCTGAGTCTCTACTTTAATCCAATGTAAAAAACAACATTTCAAATTTTGAGCCGGTTGGTCACATTTGTATTCCCAGTCATGTGAAATCCATAGAATAGGGCCTAATGAATTTATTTCAATTGACTGATTTCATTATATGAACTGTAACTCAGTAAAATCTTTGAAATTGTTGCATGTTGCGTTTATATTTTTGTTCAGTATATGTAAAACTGTTATTTCAAACCAACACAGCCGAAACCATGCAGATATTGTGGGAAACACAGCACACAAAAATGTCATAGGTCTAGAAGAGTAATTATGGGACTCATTGTGCTGCTGTTTATTTTACTATTGATTAGTTGAACGTTTGTACACAGCCGGGGATGGGGGACATGCAGTATTATCACTGCAGAGCCGGGAACAGGTCTAGTCTAAAGCTGACACTGCACTCCACACCAGCAGACCCATGGGTCCAGGACAGCGTGCTAGGGACTTTGGAGGGACTAGCTACCTCTGAAGTAGGGCACATAGTTGTGCTGCTGGAGCATGGCCAGGGTGGTGGGGTTGAGGGGCAGAGGAGAGTTTCTATCCCCAGGAGAGACTCTGCCCCCGGGAGAGATTCTGCCAGGCTGTGTCAATGCCCCAGGCACCTGCAGCCCCCCAGGGTACTTGGGGGGTAGACCCTCTGAGTAGTCCAAGGGGAGGGAGGAGTCCCTAACCAAGGAGGAAAGGTACTTAGGCCCCCCCGTGTAGGCCGAGGGGTGGGGGAGGGAGCTGGAGTCAAGGGCCTGGCCATACCTATTACCCATTGCTTTAATGGCCATGTAAAGATCCTCTGTAGGAGAAAATGGTTTAGGAGAAGGACAATATGTTTATTAGGGCACAAAGGACACTAGCACTGTCCCCCACCCAATAGTAGATCAATACTGTTCTTTACACATTCTGTGGTAATGACATGTTACGTGATGGCATTACCACCTCATTCAGAGAGCAGAAAGGAATGAGTATTCATGAAATGTCGGAACAGGAAAAGTCAGTGAAGAAAAAATTACAGAATCGTCAACTAAACATGTGTTCTCTAAAGTAATAGAATTAGCAAATCAAGATGACACCTAAATCAGGTTGCACTTTTTGGAATATGATGCACATGGTAAAAATTACATCACGCACTATATGCTGCATATTATTGACTACATTTGTATATATCATTATATTAGAATAATGTATGATACTCAAAATAGTGAAATACTTTAACTATACATTAACTCTAATATACCGCATTTTACTGTGTTTTTAACTACTGCTAGCTGACAGTGAGGGATGAGGGGTGAGGGGGGTACCTACCTGGCCTGCTGTAGTTCTGGGGGGAGCGAGACGGGGTGTGTCCTCCATACCTCCCCAGGGAGCTGTTGGAGCTGGGACTGGAGGGCCTCCTCTGACGGGGAGACTTCTCTCCGTCACCCTGGAAACAAGGACAGGAAGTGATGTCATAGTGTTGCCATACAAAGAGGGAAACTGATGTCACGGATACAGCCAAATCCGTAACACCGAACGTTCACTCACTTTGTAATCACAGTGGGGTACAATAACACGGTTTTAGAGAGAAATGTTTGCTCCACATCTGATGATCGTCATTTCACGGATGTGATTGTAATTATATTGATCAATCACTTTACAAGTGTGCAAATGTCCATAAAAACACCCTTTTGTCTTCGCACGAACACACAAACACGCACACACACGCACACACAGATACACACGCACACACCTTAATTCTTACACATAATCATCAATAACATTTCAGAATAATTAAACAGTAAATATAAAATCAACATTATGGGGATAACATTTTAGAATAATTATTAATTGAAATGAGTCATTTCCGGGTGGAGCCCACTATGAGGTGTTTTACCTCTGTTGGAGAAGGAGAGAGCCCCTGGAGACAGATTGGGAAGACAGCCGATGAGGATGAACTCATATCATATGAGGTAATTTGAGTTATTGAAACAAACAGCATGATCATGACATTCGTTAGTTAGAATGGATATTTCATTTGATTCAATGAGCATGACCTCAATATATACCACTCCCAATGATTAGTGCTTTTTGAGGTCTGTTCGGTTTCGGGTCGATTACTAACAGATAATCACGGTTCTGTTTATATATATATTATTTAATTTTTTTTACATTAAATGCACTATGCATTATGTGGGTTGAATGCTGTAACAACATAGAATAAAACAATTAATACAAGTCCTGTGTGGCTCAGTTGGTAGAGCATGGCGCTTGCAACGCCAGAGTTGCGGGTTCGATTGCCACTGGGGACCAGTACAAAAAATATATTTTTTAATGAAAATGTATGCACTCACTACTGGATAAGAGCGTCTGCTAAATTACTAAAATGTAAATGAAAATGTGGCAGTTACTGCTTAGTACTTATTAACTATCATTTATTCATGTTACTTTACTAAAATATTTCATGATTCTCACCCCCTTCCATAGACTTGCATAGTAATTATGACAACTTCCAGAGGACGTCCTCCAACCTATCAGAGCTCTTGCAGCATGAACTGACATGTTGTCCACCCAATCAAATGATCAGAGAATGAATCTAGTGCTGAAAACATAAGCTACATTTAGCTAGCACTGCAGTGCATAAAATGTGGTGAGTAGTTGACTCAAAGTGAGAGAAAAACTGTTTTTAACAAATTCATTTCTTCCAAAATTAAGGAGAAGTGTGAGTGAGTGGGAGAGAGAGAGAGCTATATTTCGTAGTATATACAGTATATATATAAAAACATACTTTCACTTACTCAGCTAGTGAATGCAGCTAGCTAGTTTAGCCTACTCAAACACACAGTTCAAAACAGAGGGATACTATGTTAGCTAGCTGGCTATGGCTATGGCTATGCAACACTGGAAGGTAAGGTTTTATAAATGTATTGCCACCGGGGCCCACCGGTGTAACTGCTAAACTGCTTGCTGTACACTGTACTGCATGATTGTAGCAAGTTTACTAACACGTTAGTTCTAGTAGCTACGTTGACAATGACGTTAATATGGTGAAAATGACGTAGGCTGTGTGTAGCGGTTAGCGGTTAGCGGTTATGGTATGAAAGGTTGGCTCGGAAAGGTTTTTTCGCCTGGTCACAGACAGCTGTTGTATTGTGCATTGAAGTCCACAAGCGAAGGGAAAAGGTGAGATGAGGAGAGAGCGTAGATGCGAGAAGGAAAAATATACACAACGAGCAAAGGGACCATGCGGTTTATATGTGGCTGCTAGTTCTGTGTTTGCGTGTGATCAGGGGTGTATTCATTCCGCCGATTCTGTAAAAAATAAAAAAATCTTAAATGGAAGCAAACGGAGCTAAACAGGGATAAACATACATACATTTGTCCAATAGAAACTTGTTTGCAACTGTTGGACTAACGATTACAACCTAAATCAGCTAGATGCAGGCAAGAGTGTGCAAGGCGGTATTGAATGTGTCACTGTCTGTCACCTTAATAATAATAATAATAATATGCCATTTAGCAAACGCTTTTATCCAAAGCGACTTACAGTCATGCGTGCATACATTTTTTTTGTGTATGGGTGGTCCCGGGGATCGAACCCACTACCTTGGCGTTACAAGCGCCGTGCTCTACAGAGGAACACCTTGATTACTCTAATTTCTCTCGACCTGTGCAACTACGTTGTAAACTTTAATTCATAGGCTAGGTTGTAGCAACCTCATGATGGGTATAGGGAACATTTTAGTATCATGTCGTAGCCTAAACATATCGATGTTACATTGAATGAGACTGATGATAAAGGTTAGTTCTGTGGTTGGCTTATGGAGTGAGGGAGAGGAGGAAAAGAGAGAGAGAGAGAGAGAGAGAGAGAGAGAGAGAGAGAGAGAGAGAGAGAGAGAGAGAGAGAGAGAGAGAGAGAGAGAGAGAGAGAGAGAGAGAGAGAGAGAGAGAAAGAAAGAGATGGCAGCTCCCTTGTTCCCTTCCTTGTCCCCTCACCTCTCCGTAGTGTTGTTCCTCTGAGGGGTAGCTGACATAGGGAGAGTAGGAGAGCATGTCTGGCCGGTCTATGTTGTAGATCGCCTTGATCTTTGGCAGAGCAGCAAGGTCTTTATAGTCCAGCATCTCATCTCCTAGTTTGGCCTGGGACACAGAGAAACACATCAATTCAGGCTTTTAAATATCAACCACTTTGATCATGACAAAATGAGAATGGTATAGCACAGTTTAAAAACTGTAGTCAACTTAGCACAGTGGACAACCCTGGTCCTGGAGACCTACAGGATGATGGGCAGGCTTTTGCTCGGACCATCACTAACCCACGTGAGTCAACCAATCAACTATTCATCTAGATCATATGTACAGTCGTGGTCAAAAGTTTTGAGAATGACACAAATACTAATTTTCACAAAGTATGCTGCCTCAGTTTTGATGATGGCAATTTGCATATACTACAGAATGTCATGAAGAGTGATCAGATGAATTGCAATTAATTGGATTACAGGCAACATCCGCACCGAGCTAAAGGCTGGAGCTGCCGCTTTCAGGGAGCGGGACACTAATCCGGACGCTTATAAGAAATCCCGCTATGCCCTCAGACGAACCATCAAACATGCAAAGCATCAATACAGGACTAAGATTGAATCCTACTATACCGGCTCTGACGCTCGTCGGATGTGGCAGGGCTTGAAAAATATTACGGATTACAAAGGGAAACCCAGCCGCGAGCTGCCCAGTGACGCGAGCCTACCAGATGGGCTAAATGCCTTTTTTGCTCGCTTCGAGGCAAGCAACACTGAAGCATGCATGAGAGCACCAGCTGTTCCGGACAACTGTGTGATCACGCTCTCCGTAGCCAATGTGAGCAAGACCTTTAAACAGGTCAACATTCACAAAGCCGCGGGGCCTGACGGATTACCAGGACCTGTACTCAAAGCATGCGCAGACCAACTGGCAAGTCCCTTCACTGACATTTTCAACCTCTCCCTGACCGAGTCTGTAATACCTACATGTTTCAAACAGACCACCATATTCCCTGTGGCCAAGAAAGCGAAGGTAACCTGCCTAAATGATTACCGCCCCGTAGCCCTCACGTCGGTAGCCATGAAGTGCTTTGAAAGGCTGGTCATGGCTCACATCAACACCATCATGCTGGAAACCCTAGACCCACTCCAATTCGCATACCGCTCCAACAAATCCACAGATGACGCAATCTCAATCGCACTCCACACTGCCCTTTCCCACCTGGACAAAAGGAACACCTATGTAAGAATGCTGTTCATTGACTACAGCTCAGAGTTCAACACCATAGTGCCCTCAAAGCTCATCACAAAGCTAAGGATCCTGGGACTAAACACCTCCCTCTGCAACTGGATCCTGGACTTCCTGACGGGCTGCCCCCAGGTAGTAAGGGTAGGCAACAACACATCTGCCACGCTGATCCTCAACACTGGAGCCCCTCAGGGGTGCGTGCTCAGTCCCCTCCTGTACTTCCTGTTCACCCACGACTGTGTGGCCAAGCACGACTCCAACACCATCATTAAGTTTGCTGACGACACAACAGTGGTAGGCCTGATCACCGACAATGATGAGACAGCCTATAGGGAGGAGGTCAGAGACCTGGCAGTGTGGTGCCAGGACAACAACCTCTCCCTCAATGTGAGCAAGACAAAGGAGCTGATCGTGGACTATAGGAAAAGGAGGGCCGAACAGGCCCCCATTAACATCGACAGGGCTGAAGTGGAGCGGGTCGAGAGTTTCAAGTTCCTTGGTGTCCACATCACCAACAAACTATCATGGTCCAAACACACCAAGACAGTTGTGAAGAGGGCACGACAACACCTTTTCCCCTCTGGAGACTGAAAAGATTTGGCATGGGTCCCCAGATCCTCAAACAGTTATACAACTGCACCATCGAGAGCATCCTGACCGGTTGTATCACCGCCTGGTATGGCAACTGCTCGGCATCTGACTGCAAGGCGCTACAAAGGGTAGTGCGTATGGCCCAGTACATCCCTGGGGCCAAGCTTCCTGACATCCAGGACCTATACGCTAGGCGGTGTCAGAGGAAGGCCCAAAAGATTGTCAAAGACTCCAGTCACCCAAGTCATTTACTTTTCTCTCTGCTACCGCACGGCAAGCGGTACCGGAGCGCCAAGTCTAGGACCAAAAGTCTAGGCTCCTTAACAGCTTCTGCCCCCAAGCCATAAGCCTGCTGAACAATTAATCAAATGGCCACCCGGACTATTTACATTGACCCCCCCCCCCCCCCCCCCCTTTGTTTTTACACTGCTGCTACTCGCTGTTTATTATCTATGCATAGTCACTTTACAAATTACCTCCGACTAACCTGTACCCCCGCACATTGACTCGGTACCGGTACCCCCTGTATATAGTCTCATTATTGTCATGTAAATGTATTGTGTTACTTTTTAATTTAATTTTTAGACTTTAGTTTATTTAGTAAATATTTTCTTAACTCTATTTCTTGAACTGCATTGTTGGTTAAGGGCTTGTAAGTAAGCATTTCACAGTAAGGTACACCTGTTGTATTCGGCATGTGACAAATACAATTTCATTTGATTATATTTGGTTATTGGCCACTGTTGTCCTGTGATGCCCTCTAGTGGCGAGGTGAGGTGGTGCTTACATAGATGACCCTGCTAGGAGAGCCAGATGCACTGGAGACTGGGACAGAGGTGATGCTCTCAGAGGAGGTCCTGGTCACCTGGAATATAGACAACAAGGAGTTACCTCTACTCATTATCACAAAGGAGTGAGTGAGAGGTAGACGGGAAGAGAAAGAGATAGAGTCAGAGACATGTATCACTCTTGAATTGAAAACGTATGCTTCACATTTCCACTCTCAGCGAGTTCCTCTTTCCGACTCGAACCAGTGCCACTAACTTGAGGATAACTATGAGCCTTTGTTTACAAATAGCAGTGTGACAACAAAAATAAACAACACCCTCCTCTAGTCAAAAACACCACGCAGCATCATTCAAGGTGAGAGCAGTGGTGACCTGACACATTCTGTGACTGGGACGCCAGACAGACACAGTAGAGTTATTCATTAGTGAAGCTGTGTCCACCATCTATTCAGCCGTTACACTTAGGTTTGGGGCTAATTCCATTTCAACTTAATTCATCCCCTGAATTGAAATGGAATGGATCCAAACCCTGGTTATTAACATACCACTACGGTCAGTCACTGTTTGGGTTGGATCACATTATCAGCCCAACAGGATTATGGGTAAGTGAGTGCTCTGTGGGCGTGGCTAGTTACTGAGCGTGAAGCCTGTCAGGGGTCAAGGGTCAGGGGGTCAACCCCATGCAGAGGGTGGAGGTGGTGGCGAAGGGGGTCTGGGCTGAACATGCATCACAAACCTGCTGCTCAGGGACGTCATTGAGCTGTATCCGGACCTGCTTCTGGGAACAACAGGTGTATTACATTGGGGAGGGGGAGGGGAGAGAGTTTTGATCTGGCGCATTCCGAGTGCTTTGGCTTTGTAGGAATAGACAACAGGTCCCGTCAACACAGTTACCTGGGAGATAATTGCAACATGATGAGTGTGGTTTGGTATCATTGAGATGATTCCAAGCCGTATCATACTTACT